CGAAATGTAGCAAATCCATGTGTTTTTGGACCCTGACCCCGCCGATCTGCGTGAGGGATGCCACCCAATTTCAGACATGTGGCAAATCCCATGTGTTTTTGGACCCTGACCCCGCCGATCTGCGTGAGTGGTGCCGCCGGATTTTGAAATGTGAGATCCCGAGTGTTTCGGGACGCTGACCCTGCCGATCTGCGTGAGGGGTGCCACCAGATTTCAGAGGTGTGCAAATCCTTTGTGTTTTTGGACCCTGAACCCGCCGATCTGCGTGAGGGGTGCCACCGAATGTTAAAAATGTGGCATATCCTTTTTGTTTTTGGACCCTGACCCCGCCGATCTGCGTGAGGGGTGTCAATTTTTACGCACCCCAGCAATTCCAGCAATACGATTTCTCAGTGGTAAAAATGTTAGTTTTGGGCCTCCCCCCTCGCGCGGTCTATCAACAAGGAACAGTAAGCAGCAAGAAGTCAACAAGGAACAGTAAGCAGCAAGAAGCAGAACTGTAACAGTGGAAACTGGAAGCTGCAACTGGTACAGGAAACTGCGAACCTCCGGCCTACAGCCTGCTGGCCCCACAAGGAGGCCAGCGGATCCTTGTCATTTATCGCATGGGGGAGCTCCGTCGCGGCAGGGTCCCTCCCGGATATCCCCCCACCCAGGGCGGATCCCGCGCTCACCGCCTCCCAGCGGCCTGCTGCGGCAGGTCGCGCGGGTCTGACGGGAGGGCACCGGGGGGATCCTTTCTGTGTCCTGCTGCTGGCCCCTTCATGCCCACCGCCGTGTTGTCGAGAAGTGTGCAATGAGCCCTGGCAGGCGGGGGTCTTCCTCCTCCCCGAGGCCCGTCTCCTCCTCCCTCGGCATGGCGCTGGGGTGATGTAGCCTGGAGGCCGTCCACGAGTCTCTGGCCCGGGGCCTGGCCAAGTGGCCGCTCTCCGAGGCCTCGCCCCCCTCCTCCCCCCGAGATCCAACGGCGCGAACAGAAGTGCGGCCCATCGTGGGACATCACGGCCGGAGCCCCAGCTCCGACCTCGCCGCGCCGTTCTGCGAGCCGGATCGATCCGTGAACGTCCAGGGGTGCGGAGGAATTGGGCGGACGCGCCCGGCGCGAAAGAGATGCGCAGCCAGGATCTCAGGGCCCTCCGTCCCGCTCCTCTCCGGCGCCGCCTCCAGCCCAAAACCCTGGGCTTCCAGCGTCGCCGCCGTGGCGTGGCTGCTCGCCGCCGCCCTGCTGGTGGTGAGCATCACCGACACGTGCGAGCACGGCGCGCTGCTGACCTCCTGCGCCGCGGGCTCGGGGGAGCTTCGGGCGGGGTAGATGTTTCCGCAGCTTTCTGGAACGCTGTCAGATCGTTCTGGCACGCTCTGAGAAGGCCGCGGCGCCCGACAGTTGCATCCTCCAGATCCGCCGGACCTCGAGGGTCCCCACCCTACACCTGCCCGATGCTGTCCCTGTTCCTGGCGGCGTCGAGCTGCGCCTCGTCGCCGACTTCCCATGAGATCCCGGCGTCGCCCCCCTCCGTTGGAGGGCTTCGGGCTCGCCGGTCCTCGGCGGGTTTCCAGCCTCGGGGTGCTCTCCTGCGGCTGCTCCTCCCCGAGAGCACTCTGGTGAGGAGGGAGGAGGAGGAGGAGGAGGAGGAGGAGGAGGAGGAGGAGGAGGAGGAGGGGGAGGACGGAGGAGGGAGTGAGGCGGAGGAGGAGGAGGGGAGAGGAGGAGGAGGAGGAGGAGGGAGGAGGAGGCGGGGAGTAGGAGGAGGTGGAGGAGGAGGTGGAGAGGAGGAGGAGGAGGAGGTGGGATAGGCGGAGGAGGCGGCGCCCCAGAGGTCGGGGCCGCTGGAGGCCCGAGGGTCGGACCCGTAAAGCCACCCGGGGGCGGGGCCGCCTTCCCGGAGGCGCCGGCAGGGCCTTCTCGCTCGGGGTCGGGCCCCGGGGCCCTCACGGGGTCGACACGGCACGGACCGATGCGGCTCAGAGCATATGGCGCAGGGCGATGGGGCCTGCGGCTCCGGCGGGGATGTGTCGCGACGCTGCGCTTGCTCTGCAGTGTCAGCCAGCCTCGGGGTTCGGGTCATGCCGTGGTTGCTCCTTCGGCCTTCCTCGAGCACGAGCTCCTCGGGTATCCACAGAAGGGCTTCGTTCTTCTTGGGAGTCTCTTGTTGCGGCAGCCCGGCTGTGGCTCCTCCTCCGCCCCCTTCTTCCGTTCCTCGCCTCCCCTTTTCTCGTCCTCCTTGACCAGGATTCTCCAGAGGCACCCAGTTTGGCCCTCGGAGGCCAGATGCTTCTGGAAGACCAGAAGGCAGAAAGCAAAAGATATCCCGCATCTCGATCCTCGCTCTCCGCCTCCTCGTCTTCGTCGTCGTCCTAACCTCCCCCTCCTCCTCCTCCTCCTCCTCCTCCTTCTCTTCCCCCTCCTCCCCCTCCCCCTCCCCCTCCTCGTCCTCCTCTCCCTACGCCTGCTCCTCCTCCTCCTGCTCCTCCTCCTGCTCCTCCTCCTCCTCCTCCTTCTCCTCCTTCTCCTCCTTCTCCTCCTCTTCGCAAGAGGTCTGATTATATGGGCATCCCTGAGCCCAGTCCAGGGAGGGGCGAGGGCGGAAAGGAGCAGGATGTCCCCAGGCAAGGGGAGGAGGAGGAAGAGGATCGAACATCGAGGCGTGCTGACGTTACTGAACGTCCCTGGGCCTCCAAAAGGGCCGCAGAAGCCTCGAGGGAGCCTCTCCAGAGGCCAGATCTCCGCGGGAGCCTCGCGGGCCCTTCGGAGACCCGTCGGCGGAGCAGCCGGGTGTTGGAGGAGGCGAGGCGCAGCGAGGGCGCAGAATGGGATGACATCAGGACGAGGATGCGCTGTACTTGGACAAGAGCTGCTTGGGCTTCGTCGTCGTAGTTCTGGGATCGCACGGCTTGTCCAGATTCCTGAGCCGGGACTCCCCGTAAAGCCCACAGGCACTCAAAGCGGACGATCGAGGAGGGCTGAATGTTAGAAAGAGAAGTAGGCGAGAATGTAGTACAGGATAGCAGAGTAGTAGAGGAGGCAGAGGCAGAGGGAGAGAGAAGGAGAGAGAGAGAGGAACAACAACAAATAATTGAGAATTCACGCACGCACAGAGCGACATGACACATAGAGAAAGAGAAGGACAAGGGAGAGATAATGGTTGAAGGAAGAGGAAGAGAGAGCCCGACGGGTGAGGGGAGACGCACGAGCTGCCTCGCAGTCTTGGCTTCCTGGCCTCTCCTGACTTTGTTTATCATTCATAACCGCCTTCCTCCTTCCTCTGTCTCCTGGAGACGCTTGCAAATCTCCTGCTGCGGTTGGCCCAGGTCGTTATGGCGTACACCACTTGGCTCGTGTGGGAGACGCTGGCGATGCTCCCCAGGAGTCTGGTCAGGGGCGGGTGGAGGGCCGAGGAGCGGTTGACGTCGCTTGGATGTGTGTGTGTGTGTGTGTGTGTGTGCTGGCCCGTCTTGGGCCTCCGGGGATCTGGCGTCTGCTACGGGTGTGGGGGCAGGCAGTCGGTCAGATTTGCTTTTTCTCCGCCGTGGGGGCAGGCAGCCGCGGGGCTTGCCCTCCCAACTGGGGGGTGGGGGCAGCGGGAGCGGGAGCAGGACGGGACGCGCAGGAGGAGAACGAGAACGGGGGGGGAGCGGAGCATGATGATGAGGGGCTGGGGGTGCGGCGCGCAGCGAGAGCTGGAGATCGCGGTAGGAAGGGAACGGGCATGGGAGGTATGGGTGGTGGAGGAGGAAGGGGGCGAGGAGGAGGTGGAGGAGGGTGAACCGAAGGAGGAGGAGGAGGAGGAAGAGGAGGAGGAGAGTTGGAGGAGGAGGAGGAAGAGGAGGAGGAGGAGGAGGAGGAGGATGAGGAGGAGGAGGAGGAGGTAGGAAGGGAGGAGGGGAGGATAGAATCCACTTCTCGGCCGGGCGGGACCGGTACCGGGAGGAGGAGAGACGCAGGCTGTGCACCCTGTGAACAGGCGACCACCCTGTTCTGAGGTCGCGAGACTTTCTGGTCCAGTGCGGAGGCAGCAGGCAGAGATCCACTGGCGGAAGGCTCACGGCCACCGCTGCGCGCGCCCCAGCCGGGAGGCAAGGCAGCGGCGGCCAGAGTACCCCGGCCTGGGCCTGATAGGCTGCCACCCCCAGCGGCAGGGCGTGACGGGCAGGGGACTGGGCCAATCCGCTGCTGGAAACTCCGCTGGCCAGGCCTGGAGCAAGGGGCGGGGTGGGGCTGATCCGCTGGGGCCGTGTCGCCCCCAGTCGCCTTGGCCTCGTCTTTGGGAAATCTCGGGTCCATGCTTCCGCCTCCGCTCGGGGAGGGCCGGCGCCTCTGGCTCTACTTCTCTGTTTGTTCCGTCGTTCCCCTCCCGCCTCCCCCCATCGGAGGGAGGAGATGCGACACCACCAGCGGTGGGGGCCACTTCCTGAGAGGGGGTCCAAGATGCCTCCCCAAGCTGGGGAGCGCGGATGTCTCGAGAGGGGAGGGGGGGGCCACACCACCGGGAGGATTCCCACCTGACTCCTCGCGCTGGTGGTGGTGGTGGTGGTGGTGGTGGTGGTGGTGGTGGTGGTGGTGGTGGTGGTGGTGGTGGTGGTGGTGGTGGTGGTGGTGGTGGTGGTCGTGGTCGTGGCGCCTCTGCTTGTTCCTACGGTCGGGACCTTTTGGATAGCGTGTCGCTCCTCCAGTTCTGGCCCACCGCGCTTCGGCGCGACACGCTATCCATTTCCCGGTCCCCCGGGCGTCAACGGTTCAAGCTTTCTCTCGACCCCCCCCCCCGCGGAGCGGACCGGCACACCATCCGCTCGCAGGGAACAGCGTGTCGCCGAGGCCGCCGTCGCGACACGCGAAGCAGAAGTTCCTGACCGTACGCCCCCCGCGGACGGAGCGACGGAGCCGCGCGCCCAGCGGCGACGGCCCGCGCCTGCCGGCCTGGGCCGCGCTGTCCGTGTGCGGCATCTCGCTGCTGTCCTTCTCGAAGGGCACCGGGGGGGCCGCGTCCGCGGCCGTGGACCAGGAGAGCCCGCGCCGGGGCTGTAGGGCAGTCGGAGGAGGGAGGAGCGGGAGAGTGTCGGAGAGACGAGGGGACAGCAATGGTCGTCGTCGGACGATGGCAAGCGCCGAGTGCGGTGCTCTCGGGGCAGCGGGAGAGAAGGAGGAGGAGGAGGAGGAGGAGGAGGAGGAGGAGGAGGAGGAGGAGGAGGAGGAGCAGGAGCAGGAGCAGGAGCAGGAGCAGGAGGAGCAGGAGGAGGATGAGGAGGGATGATGAGAGGGGAATGGAGGGGGGAAAGGGAGGGAGGACGGCGAAGGAAAAGGGTTGCATCTTGGTCGTCTTGACAACCGCTGCTCGGCCTCGGGCTCCTGCTGCGCTACGCTGCGGAGCTGGAGGAGCTCGTCCTCGCCCTCACCTTCCCTGCCTTCGTCACTGTCCCGGCCTCGCCTGGGATCCCGCCGCACTCCCTCCCCGCCGATGCCTGGCAGCGGTGGACCCCCGCTTCGCACCGCGTGGCGCTGGTGGCGCAAGCCGCCCTTCTCCCCGTCTTTTGTCAACGTTCCTGCCTCGCCTGGGAGCCGTCCTCCCCTTTCCTCGCCGCCGACGTCTGTCGGCCGTGGACCTCCGGGAAGGGACGAGCAGGACAAGGGCCCGCTGGCAGAGTGGCGGCTGGGCGCTGGCAGAGCGCCGTCTCTGCAGTCGAGCATCTGATTGAGAGACCTCCTCCCGAAAAGTTGGGCCCGAAAGCTGACACAGCTTCTTGAGCGCCTTCGCCCCTGCAGCGATTAACAACAGCAGCTGGCCCAGGTGTGTTTGAAGAAAGATCCGGAATCTGGCCCAGTCGTCTTAAATGATGATGATTTTCATCGCATGTCCGGCCGTAATCCGAGTAGGCGATCGACCACATGTTACATGTACATCACGGTTTTCCCATAGGCCCACAACACAAAGCAATATGAGGTTCGCAGATATATGAACAACCTGTTCTAGCATCAGGTTCCAAAGCCAAGAAAGTCTGTAGTCGATCTCCCCCTCGAGTCCAATCGAGGCGTGTGGCGCACGTTCCGCACCCCGTGGCGCCCGCGGCGCACGCTTCGCCTCGCGGGGCTCTCCCGCGCACGCCGCCCCCTTCGGCCACGGCGCCGCGGCCCTGCGCCCCCGCCGCGCCAGGCTCCGAGGGCCCCCCCCGCGGTGCGCAGGGCCGTGCCTCTGCGGCCGCCCTCTCGCGGCACGGGGCGCCCCGCCCCGCGTGCCCGGCCGCCGGGAGCGAAGGAGGTGCCCGCGGCCCCGTGGAGCCTCCGTCGTCTCCCGGCCACCTCCTCCTCCTCCTCCTCCTCCGCCTCCTCCTCCTCCTCCTCCACCTCCTCCCTCTCTCCTCCTCCTCCTCCAACTCTCCTCCTCTCTCCTCCTCCTCCTCCTCCTCCTCCTCCTCCTCCTCCTCCTCCTCCTCCTCCGCCTCCTCCTCCTCCAAGGAGGAGCCGGTGCCCGTGCCGCCGCCGCCTCCGGCCATGCTGAAGCCGCTGGACCAGGTCGAGCTGAAGATTTTCAGGGACCAAAGCATGTACCCGAAGGAGTTCGAGGAGAAGAGGGAGAACTTGCACAAGAAACACAGATTTGTCGACAGGACGTCCGAGGAGGTGGAGTACAAGATGATGAGGTTGGCGGCCCCTCCAAAGCATCCGCCGCCGGGAGTATTCCACAACTCGGACCCGTACCTCAAGATAGTGGAGGCGCCCGCTGCGACGACGTACCCGGGGTCTTCTACCCCGTCTTCGTGGAAAAGGGTACCGTACCCGCCACCGCCTCGCGAGCTACGGAACCCGAGGCTACCACCGAGGCGATGGCCGCTGCCGCAGGTACCCCCGCCACCAAGGGCCCTGTAAGGCAGCCTCGCAAGGAGTTGACGCCCAACGAGTTCAAGGAGAAGAGAAGGCAGCGGCGGGTCAACAATAAGGAGAAGAAACGTACTTGACAGGCTGGTGATGTTTTGCAGTTGGAGCTTGACTTGATCGCAGCGCGTTATTGTGATGAAAGCGAGGCCGTTCCTGAAGAACTTCAGCAAGACAATTTCGCGGTTGCCGACGAGGCTGGTGGAGCCACTCCAGATGAACGTGGAGGAGATCTTGCGCTATCAAAAGATGTGCACGTACAGGCTGCTGCTCATGGTGCGGATGTTCTTGCGGAGCTTCGTGAAGGCGTCGACGATTTCGACGAAGGCTCGGAGCCTACCGGAGAAGCAGAGCACGATGCGGGAGCGCACACTGTTGGTGGAGATTACTTCGGCCTGGACCCCGTTCTCTGGCAGGGTTGGGTGCAGCAGCTCGTCGAAGGCGAGATCGACACGAACGAGTTGAACAAGCTCGTGAAGTCGGCCTTGATTGCGGCGCGCTGCCCAGCTACAGCATGTATGTCTGGTCAGCCTTCGACGTAGAGGTTACGTCCCTCGTGTGCGCCAGCATGGACACGGTGTTGTACCGCTTCTGATTTTGTTTTCCCTCCAGCCTGCCGCCGCGCCGCCTAGCAGTCGCGTCGGCAGTCGCCCACAACAGAACAACAACTCCTCCTCCTCCTCCTCCTCCTCCTCCTCCTCCTCCTCTCCCTCCCCCTCCCCCTCCCCCTCCCCCTCCTCTTCCTCCTTCTCCTCCTGAAGTTCGAAGCCAGAAGTTGACTTACGTGTCCGGCGAGCTAGGCATGCTTTTGCAGTGCTGGGCATTTTTTAGTCTGAAAATTCGAACATGAGGTGGAGGCCGGCGGTGTTTAAAAGCATGGTGGAAGGTTCTCTGTTGTCGAAGCTTGTTGCTTACCCGCTCTGTAAACCTGACTTGCAGCGGTTGGACGGAGTTCAGGCGCACCTCGATCGGCGCGCCATGCAGGGCAAGGGATGTTTGAAGATTGCTGCCACCATCGAATGCCCGAAACGATACCGCGCACTCCCCAACGCAGAGATCAGAAAGGAGATGCGGCTAAGAGCCCCCTGCTCTACGTTGAGAGCTTTGAGGATTCGCTGGTGGCAAGAACTAGTGAGAGCACCAGAGAAGCATCTGCTGGTGCTGGCAGAGAGATTTTTGAATATGCGGCTTTGGACCATCACAATTCATGCGACCTGCAGGGTGACGCTAGTGCTGCACCAGGCGCCAGCTCAGTTCATCAATGGTGGAGCCAATTCTTATGGGATGTTTATGTGTGCGTTGTCGATGTAGGCATGCCCGAAGTGCGACCCGCACTACTTCAAAGGCCAGTGGATGTTTTCTGCAGTTCGGAGGTCAAGGACGCCTTCCCGTCAGCCACGGTATCGCAGGTCAAGAGAGCAGAGGGAGGGCCGAGGACTTTCGAGGGGATCTACACGGAGGAGGTGGAGGCGAATGGGGAGATGGAGGAGGTAGAGGGAGGACATCATGGAGGAGTCGAGGTGCAGGTCCAGCAGCCCCTTGGCCTTGAATTAGTTCCCGAGGTCCCAGTCCCCGCTCCATATGTGTGCGATATCTTTGGATGTGGGATGGGATTTTGTTATCGCATGAAACTCTTGTTGCACCATGCCAGCTCAAAAACAGAAGGCCATGGGGAAAAAAATACCATTGTTAATATTCTCACGGTGTCCAATACATGTATTCAATGTGATAATGTCGACACTGCCCGTCGATATGTTTCGGAGCACGTGGCAGTCAATCTCGCCCGGGGAAAATGTCCGAAATCCAGGTGCTCGGTGACCACCCACACGCACACTGTAGATCCTCTCTACCGGTGTGACTTGTCTGACCTCGATGTGGCATCATATATCGCGGCCAGGGCTCACCTGGTCACACATTTTCCTGGGTAAACATCGCGTGACAATCAGGTGCGCAAACATGTTGTGGTTGTCGTTATCGCGGCTCAGAGGTGTCGAGATTACGATGCCGAAGGTTCTCTCTCAGTGGTTCTGTGTGGCGCTATGTGGGCTGAGCAGTTTGCACACACTGAGGAGTACCTCCCTCGCGTGCGTGGCAAGAGTGGGCATGGTGTTGGCCCACCTGGCTCGTCCAACCTCACGGACGCATGCATCACGCTTGTGGAGACGGCTTCAGCTGAGGTCAGGGGCGAGCTGACGGAGTACGTGGCGAAATTCAAGCCTGGCAGTCGTGAGGCCCCGCGCATGGTGGCCCCCTTCAGGACGGAGAAGATGCACGACAGCACGAAGAAACGGCTCATCATCGCGATGCAGAACGAGAAGTTGGAGCACACAATCTTGTGCGCGGTGGAAGTTGCTGAGAAGAACACGGCGTGGTCTGGTCCGCATCCTGCGGGCCATCTCGAGGTCGAGGGCCAGAAGTTTCTCGAGGCGATGGCGGCATAGGAGTGGAGTATACTGATGCTGGTCGTTCTGATATATGTGGCGGGAGGTGGTATCGGCAGTGACGGCAAATGGTCAGAGTGAGGGCCAGCAGTTCAGTGTTGCTCGATTTGTCCGCCTGTATTCTTTTGAGCCACTAGGCTGCAGATGGTGCATGAAGTTTGATATGTGCTCGGGTCTCTTGAGGTACGCGTGCTTGCGCGAAGGGAGGGTGACCTGAGATTGAAGTAGTCGGCATCTAGTTGGCTGTGATACGTGGCGGGCTGTGACATGCATTGTTTGTGCGTCCCCGTCTCAGTCGCATCGATGCAGGCGCAGTGCCTCTAAGCTTTGGTCAAAAAACGTGGGTCCCTCCTGCGGTCGCTTCGTCCTTCCTCCCTCCTCTCGCCCGTCCCGTTCCTCCTGGGCCGTCGGCCTAATTCCCTCTCGGGGGCCATCTCTGGCTGAGGGCTGTGTGAAATGCTCTTTCCTGGGTGTCCGCGTGCGGATGCCTAGGTAGGAGCTTTCCCCCCCCTCGGCCTGAAATGGCGCCTGCTCGCTCTTTGTTTTCCGCGTCGTCGTTGCCTGCTGGTGGACCCCGCGCGCACCCTTCGGCACGGGCCGTACACGGGTTACGCCCGAAACTCGGGCTATGCCGTTCGTGTCCCACGTGTCGTGTGATGCCGAGCTTACAGAGGTAAGGGGGTAACTCCGCAAT